CGACAAAAACACAACTAATTGGAGTACCACTGCATGTTTTCACTAAAGGCACAATTTAATTACATTTGAGCTGGGAATGAGTATTTTGGGAATGTCTGTATGTTCATTCAAACAAATCGAGCGAATGAAAAGCAATATTTGTTTTGCTTTGATTAGCAAACGGGCAGGGTAATTTGTTAAGGAGAAAGAGTGAGGGCAGAAAATATTTAACCCCCAGCTTTCCAGTGGTGGGCCACTCTCACTCTGTTTCACTCACACACACACACACACACACACACACACACACACACACACACACACACACAGTTCATCCCCTCCCTAAACGTTTGTTCCCCTTCCATCCTAAACATTAATGAACTTATGCTCCTGGCTTTGACCTCCCTCTTCTGCTGCCTTTTTCTTGTTTCTTCCCCCTTTCTTTTTGTCTGCCTTTCTCTCTCCAAGATCCCCAGTCTCTGTCCTGTGGTCCTCCTGTTCATAAATCCTTTATTAATAACTCAGTGAATAATGTAAAGAGTATTGTTTTCTCCAAGGTTGTATTAATAAACATGAATGAATTTATTTGTCTTCACCAAAGCATGATTAATGCACATTAATGCCTGGATATTGCTCACTCTGCCCTGCATCACCAAGCACATATCACCCCCACCCTCATGCCGTCTCTCTCCCCAAAAAATAGGAAAAAAAAGACCTATCAACATTAAATATTTATGGCATAATATTAATGGTTTTGTAAAGAAAATAACAAGTTATTAATCCTCTGATTAACAACTGATTAACCTTTTTTATTAAACACGTGATCCGTGCATCATCGACTCAGGATATGTCGACTGACTGCGCTGCAGAATAATTATTTTTGTGTCTTTTCTAATTGCAAAAATCGCATGGCTGAACTATATGTGTGTGTATGTGTTTTCCTTTCTTTTGCCTTGACACATGCACAGATACGCCACTCGCACTTGTTCAAACAACACGAGATGTATGTAGCCCCGAGATTACAATAAGGGATAAAGGAAAGGGAGAAAATAAAACACACAAACATAACATAACTGGCACATTCTTTCACATGGAGGGGGGGAACAAGAGCAGCGCCTAAATTTAGCAGCAGATCTCTTTTAAAACAATGGGGTTTAATTCACATATCCGTTTATTCTGCAGTCACTGGCATGGGGTGGGAAAGTGGAGTGAAAACATGGCTGAAGGACAAAACATTTTCTCTCCTTTTTTGTGCCTCTGCTCATCTCAAAGCTATTGTCTGTGTATTTTTAGTTCTTGTCAACTGAAAGACAATTATGTTGTGTTTTCTGACATAATGGCACTGACTTCAGATTGGAGAAGACTGAATTAGACACAATTTGAATCTTTAGTTCAAATCCACCTAGTGTTTTATTTATTAATTTGTTTAGTAGTGTTCTAGAAACGCTTCTGTGTTGGTCCAGTCAAAAGTAAAAGTACTCATTATGCAGATTTATGTCATATAGTATTATTTTACTGATGTCTTACTGTGCAACATGTTTCAGTGTTGAGGTGGAGCTATTTTTAACTGGCTACTTTTAATCTGTAAGAATGTTTAAAAAAAAATTACAGCACCTACTTGCTGTCATCTTCAACCTTTGTTGGAACTGTGTTAAGCTCGCTGCATAGCTGTGCACCTACACACATTGTGTAAAGAGTTTATCATCTAAAATATATTTTTGTTCTGATTTGGCAGAACAGCGAAGGTAACATATGAGCGACAACAGAAGGTATCTCAACTTTATTTCTGATGCTTAGTCGGCGTTGTATTTATGCAATTTGTTAAACAATCAGACACATTAATGAATGTATTTTGACTTTTAGAGGGAGCTGTTTTAACATGTACAGTGCAGACAGTATGTATCCACATAGGTCTTATCTTGTCTTTGTGTAAAGGAAAGCAATACAGCTTCATTTCCTGCCACCTGATTGTCCTCACATTAACTCACCTCTTTAACTTAAGACACATCTCTGTTTGGAGGCCAGTTGTTTTGATGCTTTTCGTCCCATGCCGTATTTCTGATCCAAACTGGGTTTTCTTTGATTTTTTCCCCTTCCCCTTTCTTTTTTTTGCTCTCCCCTGCTGTTCTAACCATCAGCAGCAGGCTTCACCTTGTCTACTTCCTCTAAACCGTTGAACCTCGCACAGGTGACTTTCTCACCCTTTCTCTCTCTTTCTCAGATCTCACCATTAAAATGTCTCAGTTCTGCCTCCTAAAGAACACACCGTCTTTTCCTTCTCCTATTCTTTCTCTCTTTCGTCCTGTCTTTTAACTCGCGCCATCCTGGGAATCCACACAAACCAGCACCCAAACCGAAAAACAATTATCTTTGAACTTGCTTTTAGTGCTGTTTGTCCTAATTACAGATCATTGTATCCCTGTCAAGAATTTCTACTTTTATTGTACTGTTGCCCTGGATGCTGATCCTATTGAGGTTCAACCTTATTTTACTCTCCTGGAACTCCCCCTATAAGACCTGGATTCATCACACGTATTCCCCACGGGCTTTCCTCCTGTGCTAGCTTTCAGTTTTTTCTCTCTGTCTCTTACCAGCTCTGTCTGTTCATGCTGTCTTCGAAATTCCTCATTTTTTCTTTTTATGTTGTTGTTGAAGATATCATTTTCATGCTTCCATGCATCAAAAAAATCACCAATCATCAATTAGTCTGATCCCAAAATATGCAAGAAGGCATATGGCGTGGCCCAGTTTCTGAGAAGTGCCGGGTTCAGTTCTTGGTCATTCTGTGTGAATGAAAGAGTGTGTGTTTGTGTGCTTGTGTGTGTGTGTTCGTTCATTTACAAGTTGGATTTTCAGGGCCTCTTGGGAGTTGGAGGGTATTTAAAGTGCTGCTCACACAGAGGTGGACTTCACAGTAATTAAGAAAGCAGTAAAGGTGGTTAATTCTACTTTTCCGATCACTTTTTTAATCTTCTGTCCCTCTGTTCTTGAAACACACACACACGCACGCACACACAGAGCAGCAGGTACATGAGCCTTAAGCCTCTTATGACTCCTTGTCTCCATGCAGCGCAGACACAACACTGTGTCAGGGAGAGGTTTAGGCATGGTGCGGGCCTTCCTTAATTACTGGGGGATTGCTAAGCAGATACGACTGTGCTTTCACTGAAGTAGGTGCTGGGTCAGTGGCGGCCTATGGGATTAGCTGTGCACACTCGCTTCAGACAGAGAAAAAGTGAGAAACATGTTCCAAAAGAAGTTGAAGAGCTTCAGTAAAGTGCAAGACAACAGGATATGGTTATCGGAATGCACCATGCTACTGATTGATTGCCACTCATTTCCCATTTATCCAGTTTCCACATCCAAGTTTGGTATGAGAAGCACACTATATTTCTGCTATGAAAAGGGTCAATATGTTTAAAGGCCTGTGATCCAAAGTTGCTTCCAATATCTACAAAAACTTTCTGTCTGCAGTGCACACTGTAACACTTTTATTGGCTGTCGTAAAGAAACTCTTATGCACTTTGTGGGTATAGCAGCCTCTTATTTTCCAAGAGGCTTTTTGGATGTAAGACACACGGGACTTCATTATTTAAAAGAATAGTAGAGAGAGTGTGTGTGTGTGAGAGAGAGAGAGTGCTGTCACAGTACGCACAGATCCAGCACATGCTTCTGGAAACTTGAAACGTCGCAGTCAGAGGCCGTGTTGCCTGTGACTACTTGCTTATGACTGGCTTGCTGGTCTGTGGTGACCCGCCGCCCAGTCAGTTCTTCTTCTGCCTCCTTCCGAAACACACCACCTACCGGATAGCCAGTGTATTTTTAAAGATGAGAAGAAATAGGAAGATAAAAACACACATGCAATTTAATGGCGTGGTAGTTTTTAAAAAAGTAACATCACTTTCAGCCTCTGGGTGGGGCGGTCATGTTGAACCCTTTAGACAGCTCTCTCCACCGCCATCGACAAAGACCTAATGAGGGAACATCCCTTGGAGGTGTTAATCCCTCCTGCAGAGTTTTAACACATTGAGAATCTTGAGGTTCCTGGTGGACCAAAAGCATACTGCAAAACTTTATGTAGGTTTTTGTCTTCAACTTGTCACCATTTGTATGTAAAAACTTCAGTTGAGTCCTCGACCCTTAACCCAAACTTCAGATTTTTACTATACTCCTAAACCCCTAAGTTCAAGCTAAACAAGCTTAACCTTAACTTACCCTGACTCTAACACTAATAAGTCTAGCTCCCTGTGGAAGTGGGACATTTTTGCTTATACTTGAGTCATACCTCTTGAATTACACCTCCCCTCTAAGGAAGTAGAGAAAAAGAGGGTGAACACACACTTTTCTCATCTCTCTGGAGCACAGTGGTCTGTCACTCTGCTGTGCACACATTGGATTTGTCACTGAACAAATACAGAGACACGTCAAGCGCAGTCAAAACACTCCAAACCATCGCAAGTTTCGGTGGGAGGAAGACATTTTCGCCTCCTTGTCACCAGCGTGAGTTTGGACGTACCATCACAGGAGTTTCGGTGACAGCCCAGTGAAGGCTGCTTTGTTTGCCTAAGTCGTCTCCATTCCTTTTAATGAGCCATTATGGTTATGTTTTGTCTCAGTCGTGTTCGTTGGCTGGCTGAGTTTCTGAGACGGCAAGACAGAGGATAAATGGGTAGGGGGCGGTGGTGGTGGGGGGGAGGCCCCCTGTCTTCAAACCCCCTCGCAGTGTTTCAGGAAAGAGAAGCTATTGGAGACAGACATTGTCAATGAGGGAACAAATTTGAAAAAGTTTGTATTGTATTGAATTTTTATCAAAAACTGGATTCTTTCTGGAGCAGTTAATGTTGTCCACTTTTGATATTGGCTCCTTTTTTTATGACAATGCTGACACAGAAATCTTTAATCACAGCTATATTACACTGGTAAGATAAAAGTGAAACAATTTCAATCGCTCTTAGCTTCAAAGGAGGGTATTAGGTCTCTAACAATGCACCGAAAATGATGTATGGTGTAGGCTTATATAGTAATACTGCAGTAAAAATAAAGTTTGTGGTCGGGGTTAGGTTAGGTTCAAGTCTTTTTAACTTTGACGAAATATTGGCAACAAAGTTACAACTGGCCCTCAAAAACTTGTGCTGCCAAAAAGCAGTAGATAGCTCCCTCAACTCCTCACCTTAACGCTGATAACCTTTTCATCATCTGTCTTGTCGCTCTTAAATTTTTCCGAAATCAAAGCCTGAGTCTTGAAGCCAAACTCTCCATGATCTTCCTCCATATCCTCTTTATCCTCCTTTTCTTTTGTCTTCTCTGTTTGCCTGGAGGTGCGAGGAGCTTCCTCTCCACAGCACCTGGTAAACTGCAACAGAGCAGGATGGAAAGTGATGGGATGTTGATGGGGGGAAGATGAGGGGAGTTGGGTGGCTAAGCAGACACTGTGACAACCCACCTGTCAGCAGGTACTCAGTATAATTGGTAAACGAAGGCCGCGGGATAGTAGCGGGGCCCCTTCTCTTCTCTCTGTCTTCTGCTCTGTTCTTTGTTTGACAAGTATTTGAAGTCGCCAGGCAGTCGTTGGAAGCTCGCTCCTTCCTTGTTTGGTTCAGAGCAAGACAGAGGCCAACCAGGAGAAAAGAAAAAAGGAAAGAAGTGAAAAGAACACATGTTAAATATGAATCGCTATCCTGGTAAGTTCACTGACGGTGATTAGCCAAGGAGTGGACAGCTATGCCTGTATATTTCATTGTGGATTGTGAATGGATAAATGTGTGTTTCATCCATATTAGACCCTTCCTCCTTTCTCAATGCCAATTCCAGCCATCAGGCTCTGTTTGCCCTCTAATGAAACATATTCATCTTCATCGCGCTCTCTCGCGGCTCTCAAACTCACTTTACAGCATAGTCAATTAAACCCTTAGGGGCCACTCTGTGCGGAAAAGGATATATAATGCTTTGACATTTCAGTGAGTCCACATTAGGCCCACCCATAGAGCATTCTGCTTTGAGCTGGATGAGGAAGAGTCATAACCAAGCCTAGAGGTAGAGGAAAGCCAGTCAGAGGGATTGGGTCTCTTATAAGCTAGTTAGCTCTTTGGATTCAGTTACTTATGCTGATGTAATAGGGCAATTGTAAGCTGATACTGAAGTCTCTCTGTGACCCCTACACTGGCTCTTGTTCTCATATTAGGCTACCTAATATATACTTATGCGTATATACTGTAACGATAGACTAACTAATAAATAACTAAAATGGACTGAACTCAATAGAGGAGTGTATTAGTGTTGTGGATCACCATTTAGGCTTCTTTAATTTTCTGAATGTCCTTCTGGGTACTTTTGTTTTCTTCTGTCTTATCTACTGTAAATCTATGATTGTCTGCCTTGTTTGCTTGACTTGGTCCCTCCTAGACATTCATAGTCATCGGAACAACTGGGGTCAGCAGTGTAACGATGCAAAGCAAGTCTCATAACAAGCCTCCTGCTCCAGGGCTCTGTATGTTTGTGTGTGTGAGAGTGTGTCTCCTAGGCTCGTAGTTGATCCTGCATCTCGATGGCATGAAACAGCTTGACAGAGCCAGCTTCTCCTTGAGGCTCAACATCACCCTTTTCCCCCCTCATAACCCCTCTGACTTGGGGGCTCTTACTTGGATGTGTGTGTGTGTGTGTGTGTGTGTGTGTGTGTGTGAAGGAGCATACTTCACATGCTTATCATGAAGACAACTTCGTACCCAGTCAGGTCAAAAGTGTTTACTAGAGTCAGTGGTTTTGATTTCACTGTTTTATTTTGGCATCATATCACATTGAAGGATTTGTCATTTTAAGAGGATGATGATGACACAGTTTGTTTTCCTTCAAACCACAGATAAAAGTTTTACTTTGGTGTATTTTTTTATATTGACTTCAGTAAAATCTGTAAATACATAACATGGAATAATTTTGACCAAAAAATAGTCTTAATTCAAGGTCTAACTACAAGCATTTTCAAGAGCTTTCAACCACATCTTCCTCAGTGTACAGGCAGAACTGTTACGGGTCAAAGATCCAGGAGACTGTCCACATCCGACACCTTCAACATAGACAGTATCACTATGAATTCATGGTAATGATTCAACGACCTGTCCAACATTCAGTGCCAACCCTGCCTCATTTAAATGACGTTTACATGATACAAATTTGTTTTCCCAATTATGTTGTGAGAAAAGTAATCACTGCCAGGACCATGCTGGTTAGATTTAGGCAATAAAAGCACTTTAGTTAAAGTTAACAAAAGATATTGTTAACACAATAAACATGTTACTTTTGATTTTTCAGTATTTAAAAAATACAAGGATGTTTCTTTAATCTTAACTAAGTGCAGTGAGTGCCTAAATAAAATAATAAAAAATTGTTAATTCTTTGGTAACACTTTATAATAAGTACACACTATTAAGCATTAGTTAAGCATGAATAAATAATGAATTCATAATTTATAACGCATGAATACACATTAGTATGTAGTTTATAAACACAGTTAAAAATGTTTTATTCATCATTGATAAGCACATTAGTTATGGATTAGTAAATACTGAATTCATCATTTATAAAGCATGATTCTGCTGTAAATACTCATTACTATGTGGTTTATAATCACAGTTATAAATGTTTTACTCTTCATTGTACTGTACATTTCTGCATGCATTGTCAGCCTTTATATCTCATTTGTAAATGCTTAATAAGCCATAGATAGTGCTCACTTTAGATGAGCTCGTGCAAAATACTTAATTAACGAGTAGTAAGTGCTTTGTAACTGTGAATTCCTGCATTAATAACTGTTTATAGGCCAGCAGAATCATGCTTTATAAATGATGAATTCAGTATTTACTAATCCATAACTAATGTGCTTATCAATTATGAATAAAACATTTTTAACTGTGTTTATAAACTACATACTAATGTGTATTCATGCGTTATAAATTATGAATTCATTATTTATTCATGCTTAACTAATGCTTTATAGTGTTTACTCATTATAAAGTGTTACCAATTCGGTAGTTACTATGACTATCTAAGACCATCTTTGAACCAAACTACCACAGCTTAAACTCCCTGCGCACATAGACCTGTTGAAGGAAGATGACTCCCTAAAACAGAGCTTTTACTCAACCGTGACAGCACAACTAAAACCTGACATAAGAACAAGAGCTCCTGTACCACAGCCACTCAGGTCCTGTACCTATTCCTCAAGGTCTGGGAAAATAAGATCTTACCTCAGACCTCAAGGATGCTCTAATAGTGACCATATTCAAGAAGGGGGACGAGGCTAAATGTGGAAACTTCAGGGAAATCTCATTCCTGAACAACAGGAAAAGTTCTCTTGTGTTTCCTCGCAAAACCAACTACCTGCTACCACTGTCTGAGGAAGTACTCCCAGAATCGCAGTGTCGCTTCCGCCCATCCAGAGGCACAGCAGACATGATAGTCACAGCATGCCAAGTCCAGAAAAAAATCTACGAACAGAGGCAGCCTCTGTACATGGCCTTCAAACCGCACTGTCAAGGAGTGCCTGCCATGATAAGTCCATCAGAATGTTGAGGCTTCTGCATGACGGTGTGTCAGTCACAGTGCTCAGCTCTGAGTCTGAGCCATTTACTATGGAAACAGGGGTCAAACAGGGGTGCAACATCGCACCCACCCTGTTTGCTATCTTCATTGATGCCATAACTACACCTAATTGACAAAGAGCTGCCACAGGGAATCACAATCCTGTACAGAACTGAAAGCAGGCTTTAATAGGTTCAAGGCCAAACAAACACACAGAGCCTCAGTACATGGGCGACAACACCATGGTAGTCAAGTCTGCAGAAGCCTTTCAGGGCATCCTGTATGCCTTTGCCTTTAACATAAAAAATCAAGAAGACCTGCAAGATGACCCAGGTTCTACATCAACCTCCACCCAAGTAGCCATCTACCCAGCCCACCATTAGATGGATTTCTGCCATGCCACAGATACAAAGTGACGGCACTACAAGAGAGAGAGAGAGAAAGGCTCAACCACCACCACTCTCCCCCGCCCACACTACGCCAAAGTATGTGGATCACGGATTGGCCTCTGTAACATTTTAAGACCCACAAGTTGATGACCCAACAGAGAGGACATAGTTATACTCGCCTCAACTGACCACCAGTGATGTAGAAAAACAAATAAAATGCTTTGTCATTACCAATATGTTTAGCATCAAGTCAACATTTTGTAACTTGGTAGATAGGTTTATAAACAATGTTTCCCCGTTATGTTGATAAATTGTAATCCAGATGGCATTACATTTCATTTAGTAAATTAGTAGCGTAATTTCTGCGCATACCTCAAACCTTAACCCTAGTTTAGTTTCTGTAACCAGAATATTTTGCTAATTTGAACCATGGCATAATTAAAATGAATAGATATTTAGAAATGAAATTGCTCAAAAACTTTTGCAATAAACGTTAAAAAAAATGTTTTCGATGAATGTAACCTGGGGTTTTATAGAATCATCAATTAACAATAGCTGACAAAAGGGTTTTATGTTTTTTCTCATTCTTTGTGAGCTGTACCACAGAGGCCTGAGAATGGGATCATGTGGTGCCACCAGACTTTTATTAATCATAATGACCTGGCCGATTAAATCAAACCAATGCAGTTTTTATCCATTTTGGGAAGTCAAGCAATGTACTTGGAAGGTCTTAGAATTTCGGTTCATAGTTAAAACTCAAGAGGTGTCGTGACTTTTAGAAAAGTTTGAATATTTTTTTTTTCAATACCGGGATTCAAGCCATGGTTCTTAACTTTACTAATATTGCATTCCTTCAATTATGTCCAGCTGTCACGTCCAACGGATCAAGCTTTAAATTCATAGCAAGACGTCTCAGATTTCCTATTGAAATAGGGATAATACAGTTGTAATTTTGTCGAGGATACTAATGTCGACTGTTTTTTGGTGGACTGTACGTGATTCCTATTTGTTAATTGTGTTTGTTTCTATCAATAGATCTGTGTGAGTGAGTGTGTGTGTGTGTAAGATGGGTAAACTCTATTTGGTATGCCCAGCCACCAATATGTGGAACAACAATGCTAGGCTTCTATTGTCTTGTGCTGCTCTATAGGGGTTAGCTGGCACTGCATATGAACAGATGTGTTTCAAATCATTGTTGTTATTTACCAGTGATAGGCTAGAGCTAAAGAAAATGTCCCCCTGTTCTGATTTATTCATTCGGACAGTGGATTTATGCAGAGATTCTGAAAACCTGGATCTTTTCTGCACGGATAGACGGGCAGATTTATTATTCATGAAGCTAATGCATTGTTTCTGTTGCTTTATATCTCTTTTTTTGTTCTCTCATCCTGTTTTTTTCCTTCCCCCCCTTCCACTGGATGATGCACTGAATTCTCTCAGGCAAAGGTTGGCAGTTAAATGTCTGTGTTGAAATGAGAAGTTTGAAAGACGAAACGCTATCTCTGTATATATATGTGTGTGTGTGTAAACTGATTTAAATCGCTCTTTGAGCCCTACAGAATGGCGCTTTAAATGTTAAATGGGGGTTGAAGCCTGCCTGAACTAATTTGTAGGGCTTTGCAC